AGATAAGAGTCGAGCGCTCCACAGTTTGCCTAAAAGGTACGGCATTTTGCAATATATTCCTTATGGAGGGGCACGCGCTGCACGCCAGCTACAGTATGCAGGGTGCGGAAATTACCCATCTTTGTAAACTGGCGATGCAACGGATTGAGAGTGATTTCTAAGGCCTTTGCCAATGACGCCATTGCAAACACAGGTTCACTGTTTTGCCAACATGACGCCATTGCAATCACAGGTTCATCATTTCGCAATGCTACCTTGGGCTTGAATACAGACCTTTGGACGCGAGCAGAAGTCATTCACCGCCGTGCTAAAATACTTCAGAAGGATATCTTCTCGAACTCTGACCAGGCTTCTCCTCAGTGTTTTGATTTGCTGTTGAGAGCGAACATTTCTTCCAGTGTAGCGCACTCGCCCGGTAAGCAAGAGGTGCGGGTTCAGAGTCCCGCCTGGGGCCGAAAGTTTTGTTCACAACCCAGCATTCTTGTGAAACATTCGCAAGGCGAACTGCGGCCCAAAAACAGCAGTTAACAAACAAAAACAAGTCGAAATCAATTCATTCGAAATCAACTATATAACAGTCATCCTTGCGCCTGACGAAGCCTTGGAGTGTTTATATATCTTATCTATATCTATATCTTCATCGATGAAAACTAGCGGGAACGCGAATTCGGAAGCTCTAGTTGCACAAACCATGATTTTCGCAGCATATCAAAACATATAAACTCTCTTCATTGTCAGCTGACTAAAAATGAATGCAGTGCCACACTTTTATGCTTACTGCTATTGCTTATGAAATTCGATTTACTCTCTTAAAGGCAAATTCCGGGATTTCTGGCGAAATTAGGTTTTCCCCGTCAAATATGCAGCAGTACGCAAGGGCAGACCATGTGCAGAAGTGGCGGGGCGTTTTGATAAGGTTTAGGCGCTAGGAGCCTAGGTTGGAGCATTGGCGCCGCCCCAACCCCATTGAGCCCGCCCACCGTCCTACGTGATCTTCCAAACAACCTGGAACGCTAGATGTTAAGCCGTTGTTTGGAAAGTCGTAGGGGAGTATTTAGCGGATTTCAATTACGAAAATTACACTTCAGAGCGCGCTCCGCCCATTCTGGGCGGGCCTCCGCCCACGTCATGTATGCAGGAAACACCTTAGACATTGCTCCCTACACCAAATTGTTTTCTGCTCTGTAGGCTTTCTCCCAACCGAGTTATGAAATTTTTCATAAAGCACTGCTTTTTTGGAGAACGCCCCGCCCACCGGGGGTGGGTCTCCCTAATTCGATGTGACTTACCAATGCACACCTTTACCCACTTTTTGGCCCAGTTTCGAGGTCACTGAAATCGAAATCTTGGTCTTCGGTACAGTTCATTTCGACGCACGCCACGCCCTCTGTGGGCGGGGCTCCGCTTAAAGGAATCTTGCGCGGAAAATTCTTGCACTCTTTCCTAACATGAATATGTCAGTTGTGATCACTGGAAATAGCACACAAAGTTTCACGCATGAAGATTCGGTTTCTGAAGAGAAACAAACGTACAAAAACTACACGTTATGGACCATCGAAGGACCAGGCAGAGCCAGGCGAGGCATGGAAGACGGCGTTTGGCCGGCTACGTACCAGGCGACGCAATGAGAGAATCGGGTTAAAGCGCGCGATTTCGGAGAGTGGAGACTTCATCCAAAACGATGACAAGGCACTTGCATTTCGACAATTGAGTTGCGCTATACCGAAGAATGGTTGGTGCCCTAGCAGAATACCTAGATCGTCCTTGACATTGAATATTATAGGACCTATTGGAAAGTTGATGATATTATAAAGAAGGCAGCTGTAATGCCTACAAAAACGGGAACTCTTTCAGACAAGCGACTTTCGTTCTATTCTTTGCTGATGCTTATTGACTAATCCAAGTACAAGAACGAGAAGAAGAGCTCACCAATTCCATAATAACCATTAGAGGTTCCTGGCCGGCGGCAACTCCGTAGAATTTAATTATATTTGGATGGTCAAAGTGTCTCATCAGACGGGCTTCATGCATGATTTCTTTGATTTGCTCTTTCGTTAGAACTTCCAGTTTGGCCTGAAGCATGACATATTTGCGGTGAAATCTGCCGGTCTAATGCATGAGTTCGCACCCAATGAATGAATCCCTCTAGCTTCTTATATTGGAACATTCAAGTGTTCCATAAATATGGAGCCACCAGTAACCTATCAGAAGGCTCCAAAACGACTCACAATAAGCTTCTGGTGCACTGATGACTCTCTGTTAGATGAATTCCACTCCCATCTTACACTCTCAGTATGGTATGATACTCCTTCGAATCACGCTCTCGCTCTGAGCTGAGGCTGGGGGAAAGCGTTAAGCGAACGAGTACCATACTATCATACTGCACTGTAAGTTTACTTGTCTGTACGCCTGAGACGCGTTTGTAAGAATAATACACAAGATTGTATTTGTTGCTTGAAAATCACCTGAAGAGAACTGACCACGTCTTGGATGGGTACTGCGTGAGTCAGGCTGTATAGTGAAGAGATGGGCAGTGCTGAAATCTGCCCACTGGGACAGCATGCACCCAGATGGGCGATGCGGCAAGGTTGTCTAGGTTGTCTGATTCGCTCTCAGAACATTCCAGAGACCAGAAGAAAAAGTGTGTACCGGGTTGCTATGTATCATACTGTCATATTATAGTAGTTAGGCCCCGCGTGCTATGCCGCGCTTCACACCATAGGGACTGGGGCTAAAACGGACTGGGAACCTGTGCATTTCGGCACAGTTCACCAAAGCGCCTTGCTACTGGACATGTTAGCAGAGTAACCTAATTTTGCACAGACTCTAAAATCCGCTGAAGCCTTCCGTGTGAGGAGCGATAGCGAAGCAAAACTCATTCTTGGTATACCAGTCAGATCGCCCAGCTGATACTCCAGGTGGGGCGAGGGGAATATCTTGCCAAACCTATGAACAGGTTTGGCAAGATATGCTAGGGTATCAAGATAGGCTAGGTAACCGCATTAGGGTTTATTTTCCATCATTGAGTGTCAAAAGATGACGCGAGGGTCTAGCCAACGGTTCTGGATGTGTACAGCGTGCCCATGGAAGAGACCCCAGCACATAGAAAGGTAATCGTGAACAGCACGGCATCAGGCAGAAAGGACAGTTTGTGGAATGCTTTACTCGAGCTATTCTTGTGGATGTTATCGAATGGCGACCTAATGCTGAAATAAAACCTCGACACCGATTTGGGCCTCAGCCTCGAGAGCCGATAGTCTCCTCTCCTTCTCGTTCTCCCGTGCCCTCCAGCTGTTATGCAGCACCATGTGAAATGAGACTGAATGTGCTCAATCGGTGTTTATGTAGCCGTGTGTGTGTGATCAAACCTCGGCGATATTCACGGTCAAGTAACTCATCAGGATTACCCTTTTTCTTGAAGCTGTTGCCTCTCGTCCTGCCTCCTCTCCCACCCCCTCTTCTACCCTCCACTCTTGCCCCTCTGGCTGCCACAGCAGCACCGAGTCCTCCCACCCTTTCTCCTCTCCTTCCCTCCTTCCCTCCATCTTTCTCCCTCTACTCGCCTCCTCCACCTCCCCCTTCCAGCCTCTATGTGCCACCGCAGCACCATGTAGAATGAGCTGAGTGACTCAATCTCGTATAATAGCCGCTGAGGGTGTTATCATAATCATGATACGAAGTGTAGCTCTTCGACTTCCCGTTTCTGTTAGCGGTTGGTCTGAACGAACAGAACGACACACGCACCGGCGAAGCGACACGCCAAAGTTGTGATTTGTATATAGAATGAAGCGATTGCAGACCACGCTGGTTCCTCGGCAACCGCCAGAACCTCACTTCTATGCGTAAACCTTGCTCCTTTCGAAGTGTCCCCTTGTGACAACGAAACTTGGAGGTGACGCGATGCACAAAAGGTGTTTAATATTGTGGGAGCATCACAAAAATCATGGAATGACGTAGTGATATTTCAATAGTTCATTGCTCCTAAGTTCTGTTAGGAAATGGTCCTCCTCTTTCCTTCGCTAATCCTCCCTTCCCCTCCCTTTGCTCTCCAGCTTTACCTGCAGCACAATGTGGAATGGCCGAGAGTGTGCTAGGTGATGTTAAAATAGTGTTGGCCAATTATGCAGGAACAGTTACCTACTGAATGCCCTTTCAAAACATTGACAGCGCAATGGAACAAACAACTGTTAGCTAACAGACCTTGTTAGCTCCTTGGCTTGCTTGTTCCATTTGCTGCCTTGCCAGTGGCAAGTTGCCACTCACTTCATTTTGCTGACGGGCAATCAGACAGACATGCAAACCGACACAACAAGTTAACGGTCTATATAATGGAAGGTTATTATGTATTCAAAAAAGAAGTTTATGAGCTATAAGCCTCGAACCGACTCAAATTTTGCAACTGTTTGTTACTTGGTATTTAATGGCACGGGTTGCGACTAGACCTGTAGTGAAATCACCTACATGGCTGTTGTGGCAATATCGCTAATCACAGGAGTGGTAGGATTGCTGCAACTTTGAATTATGCAACAAGGGATCTATTCATCATGTTGATGCCTGATGTTGCGACCGCACCACGCTTGTCACTTGTAGCATATGTACGTGGCGTGTGCGCCTTCTCGCGTACGACGTGCTCTTTCGCGTTTTCCGCGTTAGCGCTACGTATCTCCATCACACCATGATCGGCCTCACAAGTAGAATTTCCGTGTTTTCTGTGGCGCTACTCGCTTTCTACCCAATGAATTACTCTTCAATTTTCTAATATAATAACGCAACCCGTGGTTTTACATGAGAAACTGCTCCTATATGGTTATCAAATAACAATGCACCTTTATTGTAGTGGAATATCTCCTTTGAAATATCTGCTCAAATTACACAGGAGTTGGTACCCTTCCAGGTTAATGAGAGTTCTGTTGATCATCAACAACGACTAGCTACCGAATCGTTTGTGTCACGTTTTCCACAAGCAAATGTACTACAAATGTCTTCTTTACTTCTGCAGCTGTTTCTTTCTTCGAGTTATACGAATCAAACAATAAAGCTATTTCAACATATTCGGTGTATGTGTTTTGACAAGGATATTTTATATGCTCATAAGACACCCTGTAAGAAGAGTGGACTGGTGGAACGGGATCACGAATGTGAAGTGGTACTTTGGACGAGCCGGCGATACCTGTCCACTACGGCCAAAAAGTACTTATGATTGCTCCATCTTCGCCAAATGATTTGTCAAAGCGAACTCATGCACGACGTAACAAAATGATAATAAAATAGGGTGGGCAAAAACGAGGGCAACAAGAGCGTGCTACTTGCAATTTTCAAAAGTAATGTATGCTCTACTTATTTGTGTTAGTAAGTTACTGTATGTAGCTTATATATGATTTGCCACATAAATGAAACAATTTTGGAAAGAACATTTCTTCAAAGTCTCAAGGAACAGTCACTCCTTTTTCTTACCTTTACATTGGAAGAAAGTCCAGAGTCTCTAAGAACCTCTTTATCGGCTACCATTACGAAGTTGAATCGACAATTCTCAGAATCAGTAGATGTGGACGTGAAAAGATCGCTACGTGTAATAACTCAAAGACACGTGCGAAATAGCGCTGGAATCAAGCTCGCTCAATTCGATGGTTGGTCGCTAAAATTGTTATCAGCACAATTTTTCGTGAAGTATTATTAGCACACTCCTTAGGAGGGAACTTGTGGGCAAGGTGTCTAATTTCTGGTGGAGTCAACCAGCCAATCAAAATGTTTCGCGGAATAGCTAAAGCAGGACTAACGAATACACATCAGACTTCTGCCGCTCAATATATAAAGCAGGAAGGTAAGAATTACCCAAACTTCTTCGGACTTACAAGGAGCTGCCCCAGGTTGCTATAGCCATTCAAGAGGAGATGCATACGCCTAGATGTGCCTTCGAACGCTGATCTCAAATCTACCTTCCAAATCTGCTAAACGATTCTCTGAATAGAGTTATGAAGCAAAACAGCGCAGCTTCAGCGGTTAGGACTCTCAGTCAAAACTTCGGTTCCTTATCGTATTTACTGCTTTCCACTCTTTAGCAGTACAACTAAACAGCTTCTAATAGCCCACTAGAGCCGTGCTGTTCTGCTGCATAACTCTGTTGAGAGAACCATTTAGCAGATTCGGAAGGTAGATTCAAGATCAGCACTCGGAGGTACTAGTCGTGTACATCTCTTCTTGGATGGCCATGCGACTGAGAGCCTTTCCTTGTTGGCTAGTGCCTCGGTCCAGAGCAACCTGGGCATCCGAGCAAAACTGAACGCCCATCCACATAGCGGGCATTGTCTGAAGAACTGATGCCAACAGAATATCGTAGAATTCATCATATTCAGTAACTGGCAACATAGCTCTTTCAACTTGAACTCTATAAATGCTCTGCAGTGAACGTGCTGAAGACGAAGACAGTAAGTACAACTGGAACATCGACTAGCTGAGCAGACGCTCTCGGGAACTTTGGACTACTAGACACTTGCCGCAACGAAATCGTTGAGCTTTAAAAAAGTCTCAATTCATGTATCCGGTCCCTGAAAGCACTAATATTGTTTCCTGTTTGTAATGTTCCACTACTAGGATGGTATTGTTTATTTGAGGTTTTGCAGCTACAATGGTTTTTATGACCACGTTGTCTTGTTACCGTAATTTTTGCCCACTGTAAGTAAGTGTTATTTCTCACGAGCTTCACTGCAACTGTAGCCTTGCCTCCTCCCTTCAATTTTAATTTTCCCATGTGCACTTCTCCGAACGCTCCTTCTCCTGCAATAGAAGAATTCTGCAAACTCTAGCCCATCTTATGCGCCTACTATCTATCTGAAACAAACGATCCAAAATTGGCCATGTGCTTGAGTTAATGGGTTTTGTTCCGTTTCAATAGTTGACTTACTATAACACTTTGCTACTGGGTAATTGAAGAGAATGTGTTTTACACACAGTGGAACACCGCTAATAATGTAACTATACAAGTCACATGTCAGGTTTTCCACCACTATCTATTTTTGTCATCCTATCTACCTTTCAACTTATTTTCTGTCAACAAATTCAGGCGAACATCTCACATAAAAACTCAGCAATGCAGAACATGTGAATTATTGTGCCATCATAGAGGCAAATTCTTATAGAAACTCGAATAAGTGTAGGCTGGCAGGCCTAAAGAGCTTTCCTTGGTGTGAGTAAGTATTAGGTAGTAGGAAAATTTCTGCCACCTTTCAAATTTTTTGTTATCTAGGAGCTTCTAGAAACTTCCGTGGGTGTATGCAAAGATAGACATCATGACTACTGTCATTAGTCTTGGCTTCTTCAATATCTACGTTTGTATAAAAGTTATGATTGGATTTTGAGATGATCTTCAACTGCTCATTGCTCACGAATAGTACCTGAGCACCAGCGAACGAAGCAGTTGTGCGAATCAACCGATCCTCACCTAGTTTTTTAGTCAATTCAACATCATCATGTGAAAGTTCCCAACTCTGACGAACAACTGGATTTCGTAAGATTACATCTTGAGCCTGGAAGTGCACATTTAGCAGCTCTACACACATGTCTAGCAACAGTCGTAAGATATGAAAAACAGTTTACTCCAATCGATCGCGCCCGATGTTCCTCCGCGTTCAGCCGCTTAACTGGTTTAATACAAATGCAGCTGGTAATGTCGCTCCATCTCTACTAGCGTCTAGTACAGCATGTGCAAGCGAGTACAAAGTGAGAAAAAAAGAGGTGTTAAAACTACCGAGGGAGCACATCGAAAGCGAATCATATCATCTATACGAAACACGTATCCTCCACACAACGATCATCGTCCCGAAAGTCGCGGAAGTACTCGGCTGTAAGTATAGCGCTGTAAGTGTGATGACGAAAGCGCTGATCGAGCAGGATCCCGAAAAAACTACACTCTTGAAGCGATCCGCTCACTAGTTTCTATTGAGATTTGGACGTACAGTAGCAGCAAAGCGGTGCAAACCGACTGGTGCATAGATTGATAATGCCGTGAAACGGAACCAAAAGAGCCCGTCGAAACCGTCCACCAACGTCCCACGCTTTACACGCTGCCTATCGTAACGCGAAAATCAATAGAGCTAAACAAGGATCCCTTAGCGTCACTTGCGAAATCGTTCGTTTGCCTCAATATCGAGGTGCAATCCGCTTTGCTCCTCTGCCCGAAATATTAGAGCACACCCCTGCTAGCTGATGTACGCACCTCACTCCATATCTAGTTACCTTGTTCCACTAGGACAATGGGTGCTATGGCGATATTCGCTTTAAGCTTGTGAAGTAGATCTCGATTGATTTTGCAGGACCGCAGAAGCGATATGCTACTAGGAATCCCTTCCACTTTTTTGTTCGCGCATTACTCACCGGTACTGTTCACCGCGGCCATGATTCCCTCTACCACCACAAGCTGCAACCGCGTTCTGGATGTTTATTATCAGAATACGAGGTTATGAATATCGACGGAACATCGACGACATCATTGATTGACATTAGCTGTGATCTTCATACTGAAGCTTCTGTGAAGCGTGAAAGCGAAAATCTTTCTGAAACTGCAGCCGATAAAGGGTTAGGCTCCATCATAGCTGCCTATTTAGCTAAACTCATGCTCGATAAGGCAGAATGTGCGGAGCTGAAAATACCCTTATAGGACACCATCGCATCGAGTGACAATAATACTCAGTGTCGAACAACTAATTGATGGTATTATGTTGAATGGAAACAACTCCATCAGTATACTATATTATGTACCACGCCGATATCTCAGAAACGAAAAGAAGACGATGCATGCTATTTAGCTGACGCCGCACAAGCTTAATGTCCGAACATTAAAATGAGGATTGCCCCGTATCTGAGCATATAAGTGACCTCTATTATGACAATGAATCAAACTGAATACTTTTATTTCACACCTCTAGCTTCATCGACACGGTTCTTCTCGCATCGCTACTCATTATTGAGCATGTTATAATCTCCAAAAGTCTCCTGTATCCAAATATCCTGTTTATCACTCAAGACATCCACTGTCACCACTATCCTGTATACTAACTTAGAAACCACCGCCTCACTTCTGCTCGGCGTCCGCGCTACATAGATATTCGAGTTGAATTTGAGCGATCTCTCACGGGCCGTTAATTGTTCCCCACTGATTGAAGCATATGCACCCATATGTGTTTTATATGCCGAATGAAGGTGATCATTTTAAGTTGATTGAATTCGTCGTACCTACCTATAAAGTATAGGCCTCTAATCGCATGTAGAAAAAATCAAGATCAATGTTCGAATGGCCCACACACCAAAAATGCACCATGTTATTACGCGGCGATCAGGACTCAAGTTGGAACGGAGCTTAGCTAATATCGCGGATATTGCCCCTACAATATAGCGCCCCGGCTAATAACCAAAGGCACACATATCCCAGCCCGCACAAGGAAGGCGAACATAATATCTGAACACTTCTGGACGAAGGACTAAATCTACGCTAGATATGCCATATCTCTTTTTGTTACTTCATGATCGATCAAGTATGAATGTCAGTAGGGATCGCTTTCAAGTCAGAGTCCTATTTATTTAGGCTGGTGAGCTTACCAGGCAAGTCTTTAGGGATCGTGACGAGCTTTTGAACACAACAAGTCTATCTTGCATGCTATATCGGGACCAACCGTCGACTCGGACCACAGACCCATGTGTTAATTTTTACTCTGCACGGCGCCGCTCTCAACAATACGCCACACAAAAGGGTCGCACCTAGCATCGCGATCGCTCTTATGGTGACGAATTCTCTGCCATTTACGCGTTCCAAAATTATACGCAAAATGGAGTTCTGATTGTTCTGGTTGGTTCTAACTCCATTTTGCGCGAATTTTGGCACGTCAACTCGAAATGCAAAAATTTGTTACCACGAGGAATCGAACTAGGGACCTCCTTTTCTGGTATTCAGAGGGCCGTTCAGGAAAAATTGAACATGGTTCTGTGGTTCCCGCATCTGCCCCTATATCATGCAAAAGACCGTTTTCAAAAAGCTTGTCACGCCCTGAAAGACCCTTCTGGTAAGCAAATCAGGTGTCCGGATCGAAATATACACGTATTCGCCCTCTCTCGCCAAAAAGGGCTACCGCAGTAGCTGATAACGGCTTTTCTTCATAGGCGTGCCACTGACGCGCCAACCCACCGCCCCCCACTCTTCGCCCCACCCTGGCCTTACGCCCTTCGAGCACTCGCGACATCTCCGCATCATCGCCACGGCCGCACACCGGCCCCCCCCACTCGACACGGCCGACTACAGAGCAGACACGTCACAATCACAATATTTCAACCTGTCGGCTATAACTTCAATCACGCAACTTTCTATCAAGTGCACGTCAGTCCGGGCAAACACCTACCCCAACGTTCGGATATCGACTCGTACTGTGTATTCGCTTCTGGCAAACCAGGCTTTGGAGTGGTGGTGGTGTCTTTTCCTCCATGGGGTGCCACTGGGAGCAACAGGCCGGCCTACGAACACCCACGTCACATCACAAATGTTAATGTCGCTATGAATCTCGAGATAATGCTACGGCGTCCGCGGGAGCCGACGCGCACTCGCAAAGCCCGGCGAGTGTGAAAAGTATGCGAGGGTCTCCGGTGCAAGGACGGCATCGGGGGGCAACTAGGCTAGTCCAAAAGTCCCGCAACGTATGGAAGACTCGCGTTGCGACGTTAAATGTTGGCACGTTAACGGGCCGCTCGTACGAGTTAGCAGAAGCTCTAGAGCGCCAACGTATTGATTTCTGTGATGTGCAGGAAACGCTGCACAAGGACTCTTGCCGCGGCTTCAAAGCCGTTCTCTGTGGCGGTCCCAAAACCACCAACGGCGTCGGGATGATTGTCTCTGAACGCTTCCGTGATTCGATAGTGAGCGTGGAACGCTTCGATGACCGCTTGATGAAGATCATTGTCGTCACTGAACGACAAAAATGAGGTACCGTCACAAGAAGCCTATAGTTGTCACAGGTGACCTCAATGGGCACGTGGGCGCTACGAAAGACGGTTATAGCTGTCATGGTGGTTTTGGATATGGGTCACGTAATACTGATGGCGAGCGAATTCTTGAATATGCAGACTCGCTCTCCATTGTGAACACAAAATTCTAAAACGTGCCTCATCACCTTCTATAGCTGCGAAATCAGAACCAATTGTTTTCGTCCTTGTCCTTGTCAGGCACCGCATCAAGGGCTCAGTAACTGGACGCTAAAATAGTACCTTATGAAACGGTCGTCACACAACACCGACCACTGATTTGTACGCTAAAGATCGCCCCGCCGAAACAGAAACTAGCCGAAAGGTGTGGGCCAGCGAGAATCAAGTGGTGGCGACTGAAAGAAAAAGGAGCGACTGTCGCTGCTTGCCGGCAGTCGACAAAACTTGGAAAGATGCTGAAGAAATAACTCGGGTTGCATCGATCCGAGCTCGGCATGACGAAGCCTGGACGGCGGAGAATTGACAAGCAAACGTGGCTGTGGACGGACCAGGTCAGAGAGAAAGTGCGCGAAGAAGAAGAAGCGGTACCACGCATTTCTTCACGAAAAGACAGCTGATAACTGGCGGAGCTATCAGATAGCGAAGAAAGAGGCAAAGAAGGCCGTTGCTTCTGCGAAAGCAGCTCATTTTGCTGATATCAACAGAAACTCGAGTCGCGCGATGGAGAGCGGTAGCGGCTTTCTAAGACGGTCTAGCGATAGCGAGTCTCTGCGAGTCGATGGTTTACCAACTCGCAAAGACTTGCTATCACTAGACTGTTTTGAGAAGAATTAGAAAAGTTCTTCGCCATCAATAACAAAAACGAACACCTTTTGACGGACCTCAAGAAAGCATTGAAGCGACGGCACAAGTACTCCGAAACATTTCGGCAGTTGAACCCTCCCATCCTGCCATCGCTTGCGCTCCGCCTGATAACCGTGAGTGAGGCCATAATAGCTTTGAAGAATGAAGCCAGGCAAAGCAACCGGTCCCGATGACCTAGCGGCCGACTTGTGGAAGTCCAAGTGCTGGAATCCTGCAGAATGGTTGACGAAGTTCTTCAACCAGATCATTGCAGAGAAGAAGGTGCCTGAGAGCTGGCAACAAAGCACGACGATTCCCATCTGGAAGAAGAAGGGCAGTCCTGGAGACTGCACCAGCTACCGTCCAATTCGCCTGCTCTCGCACAGCATGAAAATCTTTGAGCGAATTGTAGACAGCCGTATCCGGGACATCGTCGAGCTGACCACCAACCAGTGTGGTTTTGTTGCTGGTTGCAGCACCATCGATGCCATACACGCCGCTCGCCTTCTGCTAGAAAAGCATCGCGAAAAACAAAGACCGGTGCACCTTGCCTTCCTAGACTTGGAGAAGGCTTTCGATCGCGTTCCGCTTGACGTTATATCTGTCGGAGTAGGTCAAGGCTTCGCGTTATCCTCACTCCTATTTGTTGTCGTCATGGATGCCATTACGAGAGATCTCCAGAAGCCGGCTCCATGGACGCTTCTTTATGCTGATGACGTGATGCTCGCTAGCGAAGATAAAAGCACGCTCG